CCTGTTGACAGAATGATGAAAAAAAACATTGGAGAGAAGGCACAGACTAGGTATGCTGCAGTGCAGCGTTAGCTACTTCATTACATCTTCCTTGAAAAATTATGATGCTCGCCATCACTTCAAATTAGAAGGCATCTTCCTTTCAACTTAAGGCGGTGCTCCCAGTCCAAGCCTCCAGCCTTTTAGGTCCTGAGCTGTGAGTCAGTGGAGCTGCTGCACATCTCGACTGATTTGAGCCTTGCTTGCCGTGCCTTCGCTGAAGGGAGTGCAGTGCCATCACCGCCTCCTGGGGCAAAGCTATGAGCACACCTTCATCGAGCTGGGGCTTTCCACCTCTCCTGGGCTACTCCATCAGACTCTTTTCTACAAACTTCCATGCTGGGCTGGACAGAAGGTCCCCTCCTTTACCAAAATTTGGGGATCTGCAAAATTTGGGGATTTGGCAGCCCAATTTCCCCTGCTGTGCTTGCAGGGCAAAATCTGATCTCGCCTCTCCTGCTCACCGCCCTTTCTCAGCTATCCCCAAATAATACAAAGCTTGTTACAATCGCAACATATAAATATTTTTGCCACTAAATGGAACTGTTATTGACATTAAATCATTCTATAAAAGCACTTATGGTAGATTTCACAGATACAGGATTGCATGAAAATGCTTTATGCTGTCAAGCACTGTTTTGGGACATATAAACACCTTAAGTTCTTTGTGTATATAGAGGACAGACTGCACGATTAGCCTGACCTGTCTTTAACATTTCCCAATCCTTTTCCAATCCTATTGCAGTTGCCCGTTTTCACCTTTAAGACAGTAACAACAAACACCGGCAGTGGGGCTGAGGGAAACCAAGCCCAAAATCTGCTTCAAACGCAGTTTTGAAAAGTTTGGGCCCAAATATTTCAGCCACTTCTAAGAACAAAGCCTGAGGGAGGGAAAAGCATTTTTTCACCCACATTAAAAGAAATACCATGCACTAGTAAGATTTTCATGGAAAAACACTCAAGCCTCTTGCTTTGAAGGAGGGACTTGGATTTGGGTGTAGGGGAGTAGTTTTTCTGTCAGCTTTTTGGTGTCGTGACTTGGCTGATTTAAGACTCTCAGAGAAATCACAGTTGGGACATGCTCAGCATGTCAGCTGTGTTTCAGAGCAGGATTCTCTCAAACCCCCAGAAATACTGTGTGCACTGGGCAAGCTTTGCCTTGGGCACATCACCTGTGTGGAAACCAAGCAAGACCCAGGAGCACACACATGAAATGTGCTCCACAGACCTTTTTTACAGGCCAAAAGTATGGAAAGAACAGAGGCACCAACAGGAGGAAAACCCAGGTACAACAGCACTGCTTACCTGAGCATCTCCCCGTCCTGAGGCTGGGCAGAGCCCAGCTCACTGGTGTGTCTCCATCCCTCTGCTGCAAGGAGCCGTGACGGATGGCCTCTCCCTCCACCCTTGCTCAGGTCCCTGTGGATGGTAGCAATTACTGGTGGCCACTAACTAAGTTACTTAAAGTGGCAGAGAGCTGTATAATAATTTCTAAGGCCTCAGGCACAGTTCAGGTACCAAATAAACACCAGTAGGATGCTGTGTTACAAAACCTTTGGGGGTAGGACTATTCTCTTAAAAGCACACTGGCAGGTTATACACGGGAACAAATAAAGACCAAAATTTAAAGACCAGTACTTGTAAGGCTAAGTTCTTAAAGTTGGCAATGTCAGCAAAAGCATGAAGTGAGACTGTCTCTACAAGACTAAAGCAGTAAAGTGAGACTGTCTCTACAAGACTAAAGCAGTTCCCTTCATGTTTGTTTGTCAGGATACCACCTTGCAATTACATGAGTGTGTAGCATTTTTTTAGCATACAGTTCCTTACCATATTCAATGCAAACGAAAGAACGGCTGTAGAAAAACAGTAGACAGAAACAGAATGAAAGTGTTTGGATAATACAGGTTCTGCAGAAAGTCATTCAGTTCACAAGATGAGGCAGGCAACTGGAGGTGAAAAAAGTTGGGCTTTTTTTTTTTTTTTGATGGTGTTTTTATTTGTTTGTTTGAACATCCACCAGCAAACTAGCATAGCTTTCCATTTCTTCCTAGATAATACCAGATTAGCTGAACTAAACTCTTCAGTGGTCAACTATTGCATATTGCTTCTTTTTTAAGTACCTGATCTGAGTTGCTTTGGGCTACTGTGTTGCTTGTTTGCCGAGTTGCATGAGCATTCATGGAAAAGACCTCAATGCCAGAAGACCATCCCCCAATTTTTTGACATTTGCCTTCCTTTGGCTGACTTCCCTTGTACGAGGTCATCATAAGGAATATCTATTTCAATAAAGACTTCTGTAATACTTGAAACACCAAGTGGCCCTTATGACAAGTACCCGAATAAGCTGGGAAAAAAATAAGTTTTATCTTCAAAGCAGAACTTACATACCATGCAGTACATAATACAGAGGGATATGTACTGAACAAAAAGAACTTATAACATTACTGGAGAAAGGACCATTCACTCCAAACAAGGAGGAGAGAGGCTTTTACATTCATGTGGTTAAGCACTACTATTTCAGCACACTCTCAATGGAGATGTATTAAGAGTGCTCTGAAGTTTGACTCCTGGTATTTCTTTAGTGTTTCATTTTACAAACTTAATGACATTCTTCTAATATTTCTCCTGGTTCAGTTTTGATGTAAATATCAGACTTTTTTTTAATAAAAAAAAAAAAAAAAGAAGAAAAGAAAAACAACCAACAAGAAAATTCCTTGCTGTTAGGGGATAATACCCCATTGCCCTCCGAACATCTGGTTCTGGGAAGAAAAAAAAAAAAAAAGAAAAAAAGAAAAAAAATGAAAAAGAAACCCGAAGCTTTATCTTCAAAGCAGACCTTAAATATCATGCAGTACAACAGCAGTGCTGAAGCCATTCCCTGCACAAGTTCAATGACTTTCCTATGTTCCTGTGTTAACACTGAAGTAACACATTGCTTTTGCTCTTCTAAGATTCCTTCTCAAATTGTCAGGCCACCATGTCTGTCTGGACCTGATGAGACACATAATCCCTGTACCCCAAGTGGGAAATGTACCCATGTGAGCAGGGAGAGCAAGCAGCTGCATCTTCATGCTTGTGGAGCATCTGATACAGCCCTGATAAGAAAGTGGCTGACTCAGAGCACAGCTGTACAACACATGCATTTTACTAGGGTTTGATGACTCGTGATTTCTATCTAGCAGTGTCATCTGGTTGTTGTATAGGACAGAGTTAGGAGACACCATAAGGCATGCTCTGGAGGTGAGGGAACAGGCATTCATTTATCTCTAGAGCTCTAGTTCAGGGACTCACCTTCCTCCAACACCTTGAGCTCACCCACACTCACAGCTTACTCCTGAGCCACTTTCATTTCTCCTGTACTCTGGGAGCAGCCTATCTGCTGCAGTGTGTGTGATTATTCCAAGAAGGTGTTAGCAATGAGTCAAAGCCATCAAAAAGTGATTCCCACATATGCCATAGACTCTCAGCCACATGCCCCCCACTAGATGAGCCAGACTATGGCCACCTTCGATTTTTCTGTAAACTTCTTTGCTGAGAAAAGGCTGATTCTCAGTTGTTCCTTTTGTATCAGGCTATGCTGGCCCTAAAGTGGGAGCCCACTTTCCTCATGCACATATTCTGCCCTGAGCCAAGAGACCAGCCCCAGGGCTAGACCCGCCTGAAAGTCTTCTTCTGTTCTGGGGGCTTGTTCCCTTCCACTGCTTGGCTCAGAGAAGAGAACAGCTTATTGCCTGTAAGGAAAACCTAAATCCCTACCACCTACTAAAAGACTCCCTATCTAGACCTTGAGAGCAATTCACAGGCTTTCTGACTCCTCCATAGAGCTGGATGGGCAAACACCCGTGATTGCCAAAAAGCCTTCTTCCAGATATGGGTGGCCAGGAAAGAGACCGCTCTGTAACCAGGGCCAAGATCCCATCAGATACAAGTCTGGCAATTGTGATCCAAGTAATGGAAATGCCCAGACCATGCCTTTCTGAATAGCTGTAGCCAAAAATACCAGTGCACAAGGATTTATAAACTGTGCTGTTTAGCAGTGCTGCCCTACTACAAAACAACAGCAGGGTAAACACAACACTTTGGAGTCAGACTAGGAATGCAGAGCTCACTTCTTGCCTTATGGAAGACCACCCAATCTCCAAACACTGATCAATGATGGTTTGTGCATTAAGAAATTGCCAGGTTTGGCAGAATTGCTTTCATTACATTGTATACATTTTGTCTCTGTGAGAAGATGATCTGACTTGGAAACAGTTTACTGAATGGTGTTGCTTAAAAATACAAAATGAAGGAATATTTGTATTTATCTTTAGTTCTTTGGATAATTTCCCATTTAACAGTTTAAGGGAAAATATCATTTAGAATAAATACCTACTGGTTATGAAAAATTCACATCTTTCTTTTATGGCAACAAAGACTAAGCATCAATGATGTCTTTTACCTGTATCAGACTCATGGATGGCTTTTTACTTTTGGATGTTTTTACTTCTTGAGCTATCAAGATGACAGAACTTTTTGAGAAAATCTGAGTCATAGATCATAAGTTTAACATAGCTGCTTTACGGTCAGGCCTGCAAGCCAACAGACACGTAGCCCTTACATGGACCTCAAAAAATTATTTATTCTATCCCCCCACATGGTACACTGAAAAAGGACTACCTAACCATCCTCATCAGACCTAGTTTAACCTGCTCTTAAAAAGCCACCAATGAAGATGATTCTTCTCCACTTGTGGTCATGTTGTGAGACTGAATACAATAATCTTTGCAAAACTTTTGTCAGCAGAAATTTAATTTTTTCCTGAAGGCCATTAATGACCTCACTAGATAGCAGTGTATTTAACACTGGTCCCTGTGGTACCACACAACAATCCCCAGCCTATTTAGTTACAATTCCCTTTCGATGACCGCATTTTGAGATCTGTCAGCTAGCCATTTCTTAAGTCACTTGCTAACTGCCTTGCTAGATATGCTATAGCAGTGCTCTGTAATCAGAATGTTATGTGACGGTAATGCGCCGCAGAAGCCCGCTGTGCTAGCTCTCTGCCTGTACCAAGCCTTGGCTCTTGAGTTCTGACATCAGGCGTGTTTAACAGCTACTAGTATTAGGGGCCCTACAAACAGCTCTTCAAGGAACCTCTACTGCAAGTCAACCAGAGCTATAGCAGTGGAACGGATGAAGCCAGATCTGTGTCCTGCTTCCCCTTTCCACATCTATTTCCCAGTTTTTCACAGAACATGCAGGATCAAGTTTTGAAACATGTCATCTGCTAACACGGTAAGAAATGGTCTGTGGGTTGAAAATTACTGGGACAGGATCTGGCAGACTGATCCTTTTGCCTTGTTTCTGTAGGAAAAAAAAAGCTGAATACTCTTAATGTTCTTAACTATGTTTTTTGCATCCCCCTGGTAACCAACAAACTGAAAAGCACGTCATTGTTCTCAGGAGATGCAAAGATAGCCTGCCACTGCTTTTAAAAGAAGATAAAGACGTTGAAGCATTTTTTATATCATTAAAAATTTAACCGTCATCACTGATCCTGACTAAAAAAACAATAATCTTGGTACTTCTTCTGTCCAACTTTCAAATTTCTTTATGTCCTGGCTGCCTTTAACATCTTCAGTTGTTTAACTCCTGAGGATGGTTTGGGATTAATTCATTTTAAGAGGAGGGAAACACACAGATCTCTCAGAAGTAGAGTTTAAGCCCTTCTCCTCATCTCAGCATCACTTGGTACTCAACACTGTCAATCCCTCCATATAAATTCCAACTTTCCCATGCACTGTGCAGGCAGCCCAGCACCCAGCTGGCACCCACAGAGAGCCAGGGAGATGTCTTAAAGACCATCACTGCAGAACTCCTGTTCTTTGTGTGTTTACTCTGAGGTGCCTTAGAAAACTTGAACCCAAATGTGAACAATGGCAAACAGTTTGTTTCAACAAAATTCTTTAATGAGTTGTGATGGGCCTTTGGGAGAGTGAGGAATACAAAAGGCACTTGATGATGGGGAAAAAAAAAAAAAAAAAAAAAAGTGAAATCCTAGAGATAAATAAAGATTTCCTTTATTGTGCAATAAAATCGGTCTTTTAAAATTTAACCAGTCCTTTCAAAATATTTCAAACTCCTCTCCCACCCTGCTGTGCTGCCACAATTGCAGCAGAAAACAACTAGGGAGGAAACTAACAGGACATTGCTGATACTGCTGCTTTTTAAACATGCTTTTCTGCCTTAGTTTCCCTAATAGCAGCAGCATAATGACATAAAATAAATGACATTTTTCCCATAGCACATTTAAAGAGTTAGATGTCATTCTCCTTACATGAAATGCATGCTGCTCTGGGACTCTCAGATCACATGGTTTGGGATCCAAAAGATCAAAAGACTTTTTCTGAAACAGGTTTGGCTCTGGCTGTCAAAAAGAAACCTTTTAAGTAACACACATTATTTAGCATGTTTTCTGTTTCTTTGTTTGTTTTGCAATATTATTGACTTTGACGCAATATTATTGACTTTGGGGAAACCTGCATAGATGTGTCTTGCTCCTGCATGATGAACCATCATTCCTGAGAGAGCTTTGAACCAAAGCATGACCCAGCTTTGAAAACGCTGATTATTATTATTATTATTATTTGTTTAGAAAACTTTCATGGCCTGGAAGCCCAGTACTCAGAAAGTGAAAGGCATACTACATAAAGGTTTTAAATGATGGCAGAGGCTTGCAGTTGCCCAAGTATGTATTGTGTGTTACTTGTGAATTTCCTGCCTTTTTGAATAGTAAGTGGCAAGACTTTCCTCACACTTAGTTAGTTATATTAAAAAGTCTTTAAAAGCCATGTGATATGGGCACATAAAACGTCTTTCTTTCAAAGTAATTCACAAAACCCTGTTCTCAGGATGGATCATGTATCTTCTGATTGCATAGAAAGTGCACATTGATGTTTTGTGGAAGTAAAGCATGTGTTTTTGAAATGTTCCAGAGATCGACATACATGGAAACACAGGAGCATTATTTTCAATTACTGGTGGCAAAAGTTAATCTCCAAAATTAATATTTGGGTTCCTAGATATGAATTACAGAAAGATCCATCTATAATCCCAGCATTAAGCATCTAATCTGTGTTCTACAAATGTACTAGTAACTATTATTAAACCTTAAAATCAGGTGTTGTTTTTGTTGTTGTTATTGTTCTTTAGCAAACAAAGTAGAAAGCTGTTATTTATTGTTAGCTACCATAGCACCTTCAGAGTGAGAAGGGCCAGCAGAATAAAAAAGGACTTCATTGTGCCTTTGCAGGTCACAAATTCATGTATAATACAAGTCTGTTGACAGAAAGAACTAATTACACCCATTGCATCTTCCCAGGAGTTCTGTAAGGTGGGGTCAGAGCTCTACTGGAAAGGTGTGGTATACCTGGCTATCAAAACATGCTTCCTCAACCCGTTCTCAAAACCCACTTCAGCAAACACCACCACCGTTTCCCATGGGAACCAATTGTATGTAGGTCAACAGATGGTCCTCCTCTTTGCCTGCTTGCTTAGGCTTGAACCCAGCAATCCACAGTCACTAATCCCTTTTTCAGGCAGGCACTCATTGACTTCTTTTCATCTTCTCAAAAAATAAAAAATGAAGGGAGTGTGAAGAAAAAAGAGTAATCAGAAGGAATGTGCAGTTTTTGATGGTCTCAGATCTGAATTAAAGGGCAGAGACTCTCTTGTGGCAACATCCTAGCAAACAGTTACAATAAATGTGGCTGTTTGTTGTAAAAATGGGAAGAATTTTGCAAACATTAGGATTATTAGACATCTGCTTTTGTGGTGCTCCAATCAGAGCTTGGAAGCCATTCTTTTGCAGAGAGACATCAGAGAGCTCAAAATGTTTTACAAGAAGAGGCAACTTCATTTTTTTTTTCCATTTCCAGATGTGGACACCATGACAGAAGTGACAGTTATCTCGCATCACAAGAGCACATCTGAAGGCAGAGCTCAGAAGAGGAGCACATGCTATCTATCCCACTGAGCCACATGACCCCATGCCAAAGGAGAAAATACTGTGGGAGATTTGGGGTAAGACTGGAGGAAATGACTTGACAGGTCCAGAAAAACAAGCTCAGAGCCTCCTTTTTTTTAAGATAAACGGCATTTTGAAGACTTTAAGTCAAAATTACAAATTAAACCAGCTAACTGATTAGCGTCAGAGCCAGTAAGGAATGCATTTGTTAGCAAAAAATGATAACATGATCAAAGTTGAGTGTGGATGCACTGCACTGCACTATCTGCACTGGCCCGACTCATAGCACCACTCATTCAACTCAGTCATAAGAAGCTGAGAAAAAAAAAAAAAAAGGAAAAAAAAAAAAAGGACACCTTCTTGTTTCTGTTTATCTGTGAATTGAGAAAATACAGTTGAGAAGGGACCTAAACTCTCTTTGAATGGACTAAGGGCCCATTCTTAGTCCCACCTTCAATGAACACTAGTAAATCTGAGGGTATGCTGCAGCTGCCTGGATAACGGGATTCCACTCTCCTGGCTTCATAGAGCAGGAGTAAAGAGTTCTATGGCCTCTGATGCTTTCTGGAGGAAAAGGGAATGCAGGGTTGCTCTACAACACCTAGAAGGAAGGCCACTGACATGAATAAGCAAGGAATGCTAGGGCCCTTTTGTAGCCTGGTTAGATTGGAGACATGATTTTGGAAGCTGAATCCCATCCCTTTCACCTGGCACCCCCATCCATGCTTCAGTCCTGCAGATCTGAGGGCATGAGCTGGTTGTCAGGACAGATCAAGGCAAAACATCATGAGTGCTTTCTGGTATGGTGCAACCTCAGGCCTTGCTTATTCCCCTGGAGAGTTTCCTGCACACACATAATCATAGAATCATAGAATCATAGAATCATAGAATATCCTGAGTTGGATAAGGGTAGTAATAACAGTAAAAAAGCTCCAGGGATTGTCCTGTCCAAACCAAATCACTTCTAACCCTTCCACTCTTCAATCATCTTCTTACTGTTGGGCATAAACCACCCTGTGGTTGGGGAAAAGATAGGCTATTTCAATAATAATGGGTCCCACCAAGGCTGATATATATATTCTCATTCACATATCAGCTTGTTTCTGCGTAAACCCATGGGCTTTTTTCCATTATGGGCTTCCATCCAACATTAGGCTCTTGCATTAGCTGGCCAGAAGCTGAATTCCTAAAAATATTGACAAGGAACATGTCAATACCTGCAAGTAGTGATACCAAACAGGCCTCGTGTGAGAGCAATGATCTTTTCAAACACAAAGGACGATCTGGGGAGCCCTTTAGAGCTGGTCAGTTCTGCTTGCTAGCCAGTGCTGGGCTTTGTGGCCAAGGACCTGAACCTCTTCTTCTCCAAGAACGCTCCCTCCACCACCCTAATGTCTTCAGCAGATACAAAATGGTTCCAGAGGCCATACATTTTCTCTTGGACACATATAAGCAGTCCCTAATGGTTTCCATGGCATATTGCTATTTTTATATCCTCTTCATTTTTCAAGCATGAGGAGAAGTCATCCAAGGAGCCAACAAATCGTGATGAAAGGATCAATTTCAGACAGATTTTTGCAGTATGAGGTCTATCTGCATGAAGACCTGGCATTATATCTTGCCATCCCCCTGAAGAATCATCAGCAAACACCCCTGGGCAACACCTTTTCCTAAAACATTTTGTAACTTTTTGTTGTACAGTTAAAAGCTTCCTGGAACAACTCTCAGTGCATCCCTTCTCTAGCTATGAATGGACTCAGCAGCCTATATTACAGCCATAAATTTCTTTCTACCTCTCAATTTCGGCTTCTTTAAATTCATCCCAACCCATCCCTGTTTTGCTGCTCCTGGCAGATGAAGTCCCCCAGGATTTTCTCTGGCCCTTTCTTGCTTTCTGGTCTGCTCTTTGTGCATGAACGCTTCTCGCCCATACCCTGTGGCTACAGCTGCATCCTCCTGTGGTACCCCTCTCCAAGTGCCCTCGGGATACAGCTATTGTCAATTGTTCCTCCTGCCTCAGACAAGGAGCTGTTCTTCAAGGACAAACCCCGTACTGAACTGGGACCAGGCAAAGGAGGAAATCAACTCTTGCCTCAGCTGGTGTCTTGAAGATAAAGGGAGGGCTTCTGCAAAGAGTTTTCTCTGTACATAGCTGAAGATCTAAAACATGTAAGTGGGTTTTACAAGATGTCCAGGAATTTGGAGTGGCTCAAACATTAAAATGGCAAGGCAGTAACTATTTTGGATGAGCCATCTTTCAGTAATTATGCTTGAATGATTTCACATTTTCATCCATCGGATGATGAATTTCTCAAAATGAGACAAAAATATATAAGCATAACTTCCATGATAGAAAGACACAATATATTTTAATGTGGTCTAATGCCAAGTGGAGGATTTATCTACAAGAAGAAACTGATGTTGCCAAATGACTAGTCCTACAAACTGATCCAGTTAAACTGACATAAAAGGTTCTTTTTACACCCTTTTTCCAGTGTAAAAGTAGCTTATATTTTTAAATACATTTGTTCCAAACATCTCCAAAATGCTGAGCCTATGGCAGGATCCACAGCATTTTACTGGCAGTAAGAAAGATAGCCATGGGTAACTGTGTTACCAGCTTTTAGATCCTTGGCTCCTCTGGAGCCAGATTATGCCTCAGAATAAATTGAAATGGCATGTCACACACTGCAGAAGCAAGCAACACTTGGAGTGATACAGGGATCATACTTGGCAGGAAAACAAAAGCAACCTAACTAGCTAAGCATCCTATACTGTTCATAAAATGTAATTCGTACAATTACCAGTTCTGCTACTGCAGCTTCAAAACAATAAGGGCTAAAATGCTCTTTTGAGAGGATACTTTTATCATACCTGGGGTTTGACCAAAAAAAAAAAAAAAAAGGTATTATAAAAGGTATTATCCAGTCTTATATTTAACACTCTGCAAGACAATTTTGATGTGGAAAAGCAAAATCTTCTTCCAGTATAGACGTATGTTCTATTTACATTTCTGTCAGTCCTAGAATTCGGCAAAGCAGAATACAGTTTCCCTGGAATACAGCCCAGGGAAGAATTGGTGAATAGTTTATATTTTATAACAGTGCCTTAAGTCTCTGTTATTGGCTATGCATTTGGAATAGGACATTTCCTGAGTCCTCATCTACTGCCACAGCACTACAACACTAAATCAAGCTTTAGGTTTTTGTTTGCTTGTTACTTTGGGAATTTTCCTCATTTAAAGGTATATTGCTCTGTTATACGAAGAGGCGAAAAAGAAACAAAGAGAACAAAAGACTTTTGTTTTGAAAGAGGAAATATGGTATTAGCAGTTGCATTACACGTGTAATAGAATAAATATTTATAATGCACACCACTTCACATTCTTAATTTGTATGAAGGCTCTTTATTCTCAGAAATAAATAATATTCCCTTTAGTATTCAGTGATAATTAAAAATCAGAAAAATTAGTATTACAATAGATGTACATGCAGCAAGACGATTATCTGATGCCTCACACAAGACCATTTAAACAGAAAGATTGTGTCTACCAAGGCAAATCATTCCCTTGATACTTTAATTTAAATACAACACTTCAGATGGTTTGTATTTAAGCATGTTGGATTTCTTTTACTTTGGATGCAGTATTTTTTTTCTTCCTTTTTCTGTAGCCTGCATTCTTTTGGAGTGTCAGGGGCTGCAACTTGTTTCACTAAAGCCAAAAATGTGGTTTTGCTTTGTATACTTAGCACTAGTTTCTATGTAAGATACACACTGGACAAATCTCAAGTAAAGGTCTCTTCCAGCAGAAGGTCAGACGCTTGGTGCCTTTTCCATATGTTCTGAACTGCGCTGCTGGCTGACTGTGTGTTGAAAAGGAGCTTTGAGAAAGAAGTTGAGTGTTACTTGCACATCTGGAAATGTTGATGGTCAGTTAGATTTTAAAGCTCTATGGTCATTCGCCACAGCAAAGATTCAACATACCTTCAAGGCAAAAGCAGTGATTTCCAAATGCTCATGACATTCCATTGGTCATTTGAAATGAAGAGAGAATGGATTTTAAAAAATCTAACAAATGACCTTACACCCTTCAGAGTCCCTATGTGCTCCCAATGGTGTCTAAACTTTTACACTGCTTTTGCAGTAAGACAAAACATTTATGGTTTTTGTTTTGTTTTGCAGTAAATTAAAATTGTCAATATAATTTGCATCACGAAGTTCATCCTGAAAAAATTAAGGGAAAAGGAAGACAGGAAAATAATCTCAAGCAAGAAGAAAACACTGTTTTTGTGCTGAACGTGGCTGAAATGGAGCAAACAAATTTTTCTATTTGTAGCTAACTAAATGAAAAAAATATTGTGCTTATAAAGAGAAGTATACACACAGAGATAAAATCTCTTATATTCACAAAGTGATATGTTTTATGTACTACACTCTTACAAAATCTTTTTTTTTTTTTTTTTCATTTCAAGAAAGCATTGTATGTTTATCCAGTCTCCTGGATTACAGAGAAGGGACATATGGTGAGCATTTCTGGACCATCAATCAGATTCTAGTTCATCAGTCAAATCTATACAATGTAAATACTGTCTGAAAGAACAAGGTTCTTTTTTTTTTTTTTCTTTAGTATAAGTTGTAATATTATTTATTGAAGTAGTTGCAGTTTCTTTATTGGAAGCATTTTCATTTTTTTCAGTTTGAGGATTTCATCACCTGACATGCCTTCAAGAGATATAATTTTTCTGAAAAGAATGGAAAAGCACCTCTAAAAAACAACCTTCCTACATCTGAAAATATAAAGTCAGAGACAGTCAAAATCATTCGTCACTTTAGTTAAATGTTGTCCCAAGGTTGCAAAGGCCTTCTGTGCTTTCCCCAAATGTTCTGTATTTCCTGCTAGGATCAGTGATTTTCACTTCATTTTATTTGGCCTGTTTGTTGGGCTCTTTTAGTTTGCCTTTGACACTGAAGTGATTTTCCCAGGAAGACTTTACCTTGGTCTGCATCTTATTTGCAGCTAATATGTTCATCTGGCTTCCCAATACCAAAAGTCCTTCAGCTAGCATAGGACCATCATGCTACAGGAGATCAACGACTCTATTCTGCAGCCACATAACTGCAGCCCAAACATGTAATTTGGGAGTGGGCTGAGCGTAGTGTTTTCTCAGGCTGCATCCATTTGGGTTCAGCATTATATTCCCCACATGTAAGATAAACTCTCTTTCTTAAATATGTGCATTCTTAGAGGCAGGTCTTGCAAGCTTAAGGACAAATGAAGAGATTGAACCAAGGAAATCTTGTTGTGCTGCAGTGTTAACTTAACCAAAAGTGTTGA